CAGTGCTGGCTGGAGAGGGCATGCAGCCATGGAAATTTATGAAGTGCTCCAGATGGAGGGTTGAGGGAAGGCAGTGCAGCAGGGGAATGTACATCGATCAGCAGCTCAAGTGCTCCATTTTGGAAGCACTTAAAATGTCTGTCCTTATCACAAATCTGTCTGCCTAGACAGTTCTAGTTTCAATCTCCCTTGCCTTTCCCTTTGTCCTAATCTGGTCTCCTCATTCTCTGCAAGGTGTGGCTTTCCCATCATTGTGCAGATGGGCATTGAAAATACAGCAAAGACGGGTTTTCTAGGACCAGGACCTGCTGTGGCCTGCATCAGCCTAGTGCTGTGGGACAGGCTCAGGCGATCCACCCAGCATCTGATGCCCCCTAGCAGTCAGATCTGCCTGCCCATGCTCCCCAGCCTCCCCTTATCTCCTATTTCTTTCCTGCCATGACTTGATTTTTTAACTGGGAAGACTGCCTCCAAAGGCTGGTCTCGTGGCCTTTCCTCTGTATGCTGTCCTCGGGGTTCATTTGTCCCAAATTTTGGGGTGGGTTTCCCCTTCTAAAACAGGCCCAGTTGTGCCTTTGGGGCAATAATCGTGACCCCCCAGCCACCCCCATAGTCATTCCCATGTCTTGCAGATGTCAGTCAGTGTGTTGTGTTGTGGTGTGGTGGGAGGGTTGAGCCCTGGCCCTGATTCTGCACTCAGTCCTTCAAGCCTTGAACCTTTGTTGGGGCTTCTACCTTTCTGGCTTCAAACCTTTTCCTCTAGCTGGACTCTGAGAGCCAAGGTTCACTGTCCCAGACCTCAGCTTCTGAGCCCCAGCCCTTCCTTGCCCTCTTGGGCTCTAGGGCCCTTGGCTCTGGTCTCATGTGGCAACCCTTAGGGTCCCTGACCCTGGCTGGGCAGCTCTATTTTGGGTACCTCTCAGGCACCCCCTGGGGGCTCCTTTCTATCTCTGTTAACCAAACTTAAGTATAACAAAAATGTAAACAAATTGCTTCCACAAAAGTTCTTTCCCGCTCTGGGTCAATACCCCACTGCAAGCTATACTCCCCCCTTAGCTGTCTTGCTGTCGCTCTCATGGGTAGCGTGAGTGTTCCTGGATCTGTTTTCTGCAGCTGGCTTTCCTGGCAGGCTCCTCGCCCTAAAGTATGCAGTACCAGATTGTCTGCTACAGCTCAGGCCCTACGCTTGTATGCCTTGAAGCTCTGCCCCCTTGCTGTCCTGTGGCTCCCCAGCCACGTGCAGGAGTTTCCCCTTTTACTTAAGAACAAGCCTGTGCTCCTGCTGATACAGCCCCAAACAGCCAGTTTAGCCTGCTGCAGAAAGGAACAGGAGCCTCTGGCTCTATTTAACACACTAATTTCAAAGATAGTCCTTTCTAGTTCTGGACTAGAATGTACCCAGAGCTGATGGCAACCTTCCTGTGGTCTAGTAATTATTTTTCCCAACGTCTTATAATTTTGTCAGATTTGGGCATATATTCACAGAGATGGAAAACACTACCCTCTGTCACATTTTTATGCATGGAGATGCTAGAACTTATTCTCTGAGGCTTAACATGAACAAATAATGCATTGTTATTTCTGTGCCTAGCTTTGTTTTCTGAAATGACCAGATCGCTTTGGACACAATTTTCCATAGTTCAGTGGAGGTTTTTCAGATTGAAACTTAAAGTTGCTAAAAAGCTATAAGCAATTAAAGCAAAATCATCCTATAGAAACCTAAGGTTGGAAAGGTCTGAAGGGTCATGTAGTCCAGGGATGGTGAATCCATGGCATGGGTACCATAAATGGCGAATGCAGCCTCAGCGTGTGGTATGTGTGAGATCAGGGAGGCAACAGGTAAAGGAGCAGCAGAAAGCAAAGCGGCAAATTAGTCAGGGAGCAGAGAGAGAGAAGCCAGAAAGCAGAACAGAGCATATCACACTGGGAGTAGAAAAAGGAGCAGATTGGACAGTGGAAGGAGATTGGCATGGCACTTTGGGAGGGTGTGGGGCTAATTTGTGGCGCTCCTGCCGAAAAGGTTGGCCCCCCCCGATCTAGTCCAGTTCCTTGCACAGATATAGGATGTGCTGTTTATAAATTATCCCAGTCAGGTGCATGAGGGGAAGGGCTGGGGAATCTTGATCGGCATTGGTTCTTGTTTTGGAAGTATTTGTCTTCCAGCATGTACTTGTAAGCAGTCCAGAGGATGTCGGGGAAAAATAGCTTAAAGGTTTGGTAAATGTCAATTCTAGTGCATCAGTTTTACTGCTTTATGACACTTTTCCTACTCCTAAACAATTTTCCACAAGTAATTAAACAGAACTATAATTTTTTTTATTATTATTCTTTCACAGGATCAGCAGCTTGAAGAATTAAAGCAACAAGTTAATTCCTTAAAATCTCAAAATGAACAACTTCAGGCAACACTTACACAGCAAGTGTCACAGATCCAGCAGCACAAGGACCAGTATAATCTCCTTAAAGTACAGCTAGGTATACATCAGAAAAAATCTAAATATGTCATTGTTCTGTACCACCTGCTGAAGGCCCTGTGTTGTTCACTGTAAGTGACCTACTTTTTTGCAGCAGATAATCTTTTCCAATTTCAACAACATGTTGCTTTAAATTCTAGAACTTATGAGATGTCACAGAAATTAGTGGGAAAATTAGTTTGTTTTCTTAAGCATTAAAAAAGCCTGCTAGAAAATTTTCTTCCAATATATATAACATGTTACTTTTACATAAAATGTCAACATTTTATTTGCTTTCTATTGCCTCAAAACTTCCAGTTACTGAAGATGGATTTTTTCATAAGACAAGTTTGTAAGTGTATTAGTAAAAAAGAAACGTGGAATTCTTGCCTATTGGCACACATTTGAGAGCTGGAAAGAGGCAGAAAGAAATTTGAGGCTTTAAGTACATTCTAGCCTGTGATTTAGGTACCAATGCCCGTGAAGAAACATGGCTAGTGAGTATAGCCTAGCCTGTCATTCACATAAATTCTAGCTACTGGGATAACTAGGGGGCCCATTTCCTGCTCCATTATCCTCTTTACTGCCGTATCTAAAGGAGGAAAGAACCTACAAAGCAACATATACCACTCCAATTGGAAAGAGCCCCTGTGGTGCACAGGGTGGGCTGCAGGGAGCTCATCACACTCTACCTAGAATCCCTCATTGCTGTGTTCTTTGGTACATGCAGCAGTTGCTGGTAGGTCTCAAATACCTGAAGGGCTTCCATAGAGGGAAAGCATCTTTTCTCTCTTCCTGCACAGAGCAGAATGCAGAACAGTGGCTTGAAGTTGCAGCAAAATAAGTTTAAAATGGATATCAGGAGGTTTTGGCTTCTTCAGAAGTATTGTGTTTTGGCTGCAGCCAAAGGCTGGGGATTTTGGCTGGGGTGTGCCAGTGCTCCTCCTAAGACTAAAACCTAGAAGTTCCTGGCTAGAGGGTCACATAGAATCAGACCAGTTGCCATATTTGGGTTCAGGAAGTAATTTTACCCTGTGGTCAACTACGTATGGACTGAAGGTTTTTTCCCTTCCTCTGTAGCAAGGAGCATGCATGCCCACTTCCTTGAATCTCTCAAGCATATTTTAACAACTCTTGCAGCAGTAGAACACTGACCACCATTGTCCCCCTTATTTACATGTGGCACATGTAGATGTTATGCTTTCTGATTGTCTGGGTTGACTGTAGTTTTAATAGGTCAGATAAGGGCTTGTGTAGGATGGTTTGGGTAAGTGTGATCCTGCCTCTAGCACGGGTTAGACTAGATGACATTTGAAGGTCCCGTTGAGCCCTTTTTCTCTATGATTATATGGTCTCTGGGAGTTCTGTTTGCTACAGGAGCTCCTTTCTCTGATTGGTCCAAAATAACCTATCTGCCAAGGTTTAGGACATGGAGATTTTGCTGTCTGAGTTGAAGCTTGGAGGGGGTGTATGGAGGGAGGGTGGATGGAGGCTCAGGTTCTCCTCATTGGGGAGGATTAGTATTTGGCAGGTACTCGATGGTGTCAAGAGATTTTAGTGCTTGCCCTGCAGAAGAGTAGTTGTACGTATGCACTTAGCTACATGGTAAAAGCACTTTGGTCTTGTGATGTGTGCTTTTGAAAGGGAAACCATTTATGAAACACTGATTCACATTCTAGGTTTAGGTCTAAGTGAATGATTCTCTTTTCTCAGTAGAATGAACTGATACTGGAATGTTGTTTTCTGCATTGAATATTTGATGAAATCTAGACTTCCAGCTCCTGCCAGAAGCTTGGACTCTTGGCTCCTTCATTGAATGACCAAGGACCTAAGAACTGCTATTTACTTGGTCAGAACATAGGTCCATCTTGCCCAGTATCCTGTGTCACACAGTGGATGCTGAAGGGGAGAGTGAACATGTATGATCAGGGTTTTTTCCGCTGTTCTTCTTCCACTTGCAGCCTCTAGCATTTGAGGTCTAGGAAGTTCTGATACAGAAGCTGTACCCCAAACTCCCATGCTCAATAGCTACTGATGCCCCTTTCCTTCAAGAATTTGTCCAATCCCTTTTTGAATCTGGCTACACTGTCCGCTTTGACAACATCTTGTGGCAACGAGTTCCACACTTCAGTTACACAGTGTGAAAAAAAACTTCCTTTTAGTTTTAAACTTACTGTCTACTAGTTTAATTTTGTGAGTCCTAGTTATTGTCTTGTGAGAGCTAGTAAATAATAAATTCCTATTTACTTTCACTTCATCATTTAGTATTTTGTAAACCCTTATTATGTCTACCCTTAAGCTTCTCTTTTCTAAACTGAATAGGCCCAGCCTCTTTAGTATCTCCTCAGATAAAAGCCTTTCCATACCACTAATAATTTGCATTGCCCTTCTCTGTATCTTCTATTCCTTGTGTACCCTTTCTGAAGTGAGGTTCAAAGTATAAACAGACCAGGGATTTATAAAGATTTCCATTTTGTTCATTATTCCTTTCTTATTGCCTAACATTGTTTGCCACCTTGAGGGCTGCTGAGCACTGAGCTGATGTTTTTAGCAAACTGTCCGCAATGACTCCCAGATCTCTTTCCTGTGTGGTAACAGCAGATGTAGAGCCCATCATACTATATTTAGGTATAGTATGGATTATTTTTCCCATGTGCATCACTTTATATTTATCTACATTTGAATTTTATCTGCCATTTAGTTGCCCATTTGCTCAGTAGTGCCATATCCTTTTGTAGTTCATCACAGTCCCCCTTGGTTTTACTACTTTGAATAATTGTCATCTGCAAATTTGGCCACCTCGCTCCCCCTCCTTCTTCCAGATCACTCATGAATATATTAAATAGCACTGATCCCAATACACATACCTGGGTGGGGGGAGGCTGCTTTTTTACTTCTAAATGAGATACAATTGCACAGACTTCCTTTCTATAAAGAACTGCACATTCCTGATGTTGATTTACAGACAGCTGCCAGTGGATTTTTTAACATAGTAGAATCATCTAAACTTGAATAACTTGTAATAGCACTTTTAGTTGGAGGGAAATGTGCTATTGTTGAAGATCATTACTTCATATGAATGTCTCAGCTACTGTATAAATGAGATAAGTGTAATTCCTAAGCCTTCTACTAATTTTGCAATGTATGGCCTATAGGAAAAGATACTCAGCATAACAGTTCCCACAGTGATACGCTACAGATGAATGGCATTCAGCCTGAAGAAATCGGCAAATTGAGAGAGGAAGTAAAAGAATGGAAAAATAAGCATGACCTGTTGCAAGGGCAGCTGAGAGAAAAGGATTCTGTGATTGAGAAATTGGTAAGCAATTAGTGACTGCTTCAGAAGAACTTTCTGTACACAGTTGCAGTTTCCAGCAGAAATGGGGAAGGTTTAGGTCATTATGCCAGGCATTGGTGAGACCTAAACTGGAATATTGTGAACAATTCTGGTCACCTTTTGCTCAAAGATGAGCTCAAACTCTGAAGCAAGTGCAGAGAAAGAGCAGTGTGACATTCAAGGAAATAGAAGGTCTCTCTTGAGAAAAGACTAGAAATGCTTGATTTGATTTATCTAGCAGAATAAGGGGCGGGAGTGGGGATAAGATCATCTATAGATGCATCATGGGTAAATCCAGTGGAGGGAGAAGGGTTATGTAAATGAAAGGATCATATTTTCATAAGAACAAATAGCTATGAAGTAGCTGTGAATGTATTTTAGTGCCCCAAGAACACACATGTAGTGTTACACCAACATCATGGTTGGGAGGCTCAGCAAAAAAAAAAAAAAAATGTTTCGGGCTGGTTACAGGACAAGTGGCATGTGGACAGAAGCACTTAGGGAGCTTACATAAGTTTTTTGTGAGATCAGGCCCCTGAAAGTGCTCTACAGCTGTGATGTAACACACATACATGGCTGCAA